GGCACTTGGCACTTGTTATGATGATGAAACTGTTATGGTTGTATTTCAATATAATGTATTGTTATGGCTGTCACTTGTATATAATCTGTAAGGGTGGTTGAGATGATCTGGTCCACTGGTGGGATGATGAAAGGTACAACTGGCAGGCAGAGGCCTCCTTATATAGACAAAAGTGAGGGATTTTAGCTCCAGGGTACATGCAGGTGAGGGAATTTAGCTGGCCTGAAAATCCAATGAGGGAATTTAGCTAGTCTAATACATGCAGGTGAGGGAATTTGGCTGGTGAGAGCACTGCCTTGAGGGATTTTGGCTAGCCTACAAGGTCCTACTACAAAGGAATGCATGTGCACCTACAAAGGAATTCAATATGAAATATAAGCCAGTAAAGGAATTCAATATGATACAAAGGAATTCAATATGAAATATGCATCCAGTATTCGAAATGAGACGTGGTCAGGATAATAATAAAGAAAAGCTCCTGTGACAGCTTGAGATAAGTGTAACTTCTGAACTAGTAGAGATAAGAGGGTAGTTGTAGTGAGTGACTAGGGGTTATTTTACCTCAGGAATCCATTTTTGATGTTATTTTTACCCTATCTTCAATATCTAGAAAGATAATAATAAATTTTTATATTTTTGGTGTAGAAACACAGGAATAATTACCACACCGTCAACTAAGCCCATGAAGTATGTAAATCTTGTCAGATATGATTTAACTAGGCCCAAAACAAGAACAAAAAAAAATCAAAATGGGGCGCGGGACATCTGTGTTACAAAGGTGACTTTAAGGAAGCTGAAGCAAATGAGGAAGAGGTACAAAAGGTAAGCGCTTTTGAGATGCCTCCCAAGCAGCAGAACTGGGAAGATAAACCCAAGGGTGAGAAGAAAACACGTGAATTAATTTACTTGGATTGGTGTCAATCTGGCCCTTCTGGATTGAGCTGGTGGAAAATCTCTGTCATGTCAATGATAAGTACAGTACTACAGGTTGAAGCCATTCACATGGTCCTCTTATCTTACAACTCTGTAGCCCTTCTAAATGTTGTCACCTTGGGACAGAATCCTCTAGATGGTAGATTTCATGAGGGTCTATTCCGCATCAGCATCCGGGATAGATACAATATATAGGTGACTGTGGCAAGTCTCAGGGCCAGTAACCCCTGCTGGGCTACAACACTAAAGGGCCAACTTTTTATTTAACTGTAAGTATTGCCTTTTTCATCGCACACTAGGATGGTTCACATTTGAAATATTTCAGCAAAATTCTTATGTGAAACCAGCAGAGCAGTTTGCATGCATAAAGTTGGCCTGCACATCTGCCAATTTTTAAACTTTTTTGAAACCAGCAAGCAGGAATTTTATCCAAAATCAACAAGATTTTATTCAAATGTGAACTGTCCTACTAGGCCGGTTCACGTCTGAAGTTCAACTAGGCAGTTTTTAGCACATTTGTAGATAAAATTTTGTAAAATTTTTCAAATCTCATGAATCATCAGGTTTGGATGAATTTGAGATTTTTGACAAATTTGTAAAATTTTAATGATAAATGTCATTAAATTTGTCTCAAAGCTCAGATGTGAACCGTCCTACTATAAATATAATTTTATCTACCTGCAAGCTATTAGTGAGGTTCATATTTGATTTTTTTTTGCTTCTGACCCCGCTTAAAAATTTTTCTGGTTGCTTTATTTTATGGGGTAAGTGAATTTTACAAACCATATTTTACAAGACATATGTCTTGTAAATCAGATGGTTTGTAAAACTACATTTTTATGGGGGTAATGTATAATTTTACAAACCATCACCCAAAAATATGGGTTGCAAAACAAAGGGTTGCAACATATGTGCCTTAAAATTGCAACCCATGCCCCATGGAGTTGGATTTTAAGGCACATATGTTGCAACCCTTATGTCTTGCAAACAATATGATTTGCAAAAGTACATTTTTGCCTTATTTCATGGAATTTTGCAACCATTAGTTTGCAACCCATATATGAGTTGTAAATTATGTTGTGCAAAATTGCACAACATGGTATGTAAAATTGAATTTTACAAACCAGATTTTGCAACCCTCCAAAAAAAAAAAAAAGAGGAAGAGCTGGGAGACACAAAAATCAACACAAAAAACAAGCTATGTAAAATTGAATTTTACAAACCTTGTTTTGCAACCCTCCAAAAAAAAAGGGAGACACAAAAATCAACAAAAAAAGAAACAGAAATCAAAAAAGGATAAAGGAAAAGGACACAGCTTCAGAAAACAATAGGGGCTTGGTTAAACAACTCCCAAAAAGTGGAGAGCCGACTCCCAAGCCTTGGAATCCCCGAAAAATGGGAGTCAAACCCCCAAAACCTTTGATTGGTTTGGGATTCGACTCCCTAAGAAAAATAATAATAAAAAATAAAAATCCCCGGTTGGTTTGGGAGTCGGCCTGCCAAACCGACCAGGGTTTGGGGGTCAATGACCCAAAAGACCCAGGGCAGCGGCCGGGAGGAGTCCTCCCGGCCGCTGAGGTACACTCTCAACGGCCGGGAGTTGACCCCTTGGCCGTGAAATATGGGATTAGAGAAATCAAATTCAAAGGATTACAAAAAATTCAAAAAGCAAACCAATCCAAGGTTTCTTGCAAACACAACACCATGTTGGGCAATTTTGCAAAACATAATTTACAACTCATATATGGGTTGCAAACTAATGGTTGCAAAATTCCATGAAATAAGGCAAAAATGTACTTTTGAAAATCATATTTTTTGCAAGAAATAAGGGTTGCAACATATATGCCTTAAAATTCAACTCCATGGGGCATGGGTTGCAATTTTAAGACACATATGTTGCAACCCATATTTTTGGGTGATGGTTTGTAAAATTATACATTACCCCCATAAAAATGTAATTTCACAAACCATCTGATTTACAAGACATATGTCTTGTAAAATATAGTTTGTAAAATTACAGTGACCCTTATTTTATCATTAAATTGAGGACTTGCCAGTCACCCTCTAGACACAAAAACTCAACTTCGTAGCACCTACATGTTGCTGAGATGTTGTACAGAACCCAAATAAAACATTCCAAGGTTCTTGATTGGATTGGTATCATGCTGATGAAGTGAGTTACAAAAGATATTCCAAAAGCTTATTTTATGCATTTCTGGGGCTTGCTCAACTCACATCTGGGAAAATACAAATTTGAACCCCAATTTTTTATGCTGATTCAACACAAGTCCCTTGCTTCAGAGGGCCCTGGTACAGCTGGTGCAAAGCTTGATCTCCAAAGGAGGGAGTTGCAGGTAAATTCAGTTTTTTGCCTGAGATCTTTCAGACTATTAGTGGGAAGAAAATTCCCCTCCAATACCGAGTGTCTTCTCCCAGCAGTGGGCCGCTACGCTTTTGGCCCAAAAAGTGTAGTGTAGTGGTGCTTTCTTTGTGCCAAAAATTTGTAGTGTTAGCTTTTTAGCGGATTTTTGCTACAGGCCACTAACAGCGCTACAGGGCCAAAAAACAACTAACCAGAGTGTTAACGTAGGGTAGTGGGCCCTTTTTTGGGGCCTATGCGCGTAGTGTTAGTGCAGATGTGGCAGAATTCCGCTACACTGCACTAAATTTTAGCGGAATTCCGCTACACTAACACTACAGTTAGTGTAACTGACCCATTGTTGCTTCTCCCCACAACTTTTTCACACCTACATTATCAAATTAAAGGCCTGAAATTCTCTTTTTTTTGGTGCCAATATTCACACCTTTTTTTTCTCCTTGACAAAAATCAAAATCTTCCCTCAACCCTTAGAAGTTTTCCATTTTTTTTGTCTGGGCAGAGGGATGTGCGTAAGTTCCCAAACATTCCATGTAAACTCAATTGAAATAAAGGCATTTATCCTCTGTCCACCTCAGCTGCTGGCAAGGACAGCACTCTACTCCAAGTGTAGGTGGTATGTAAGTAATACTACATTGGAGCTGGGGTTCTCAGCTACTCACTGCTCTTCACCTCGTTGTCTCACAATGAGTACACACCTTGCAAACTGCCATTGTTTCCAAAAATCGGCCAAAATCCAAACATTTTTGGAAGCTGTCAAGCAGCCATAACTCATAAGCCTCTCATTCATTGGGAATCAGAGATACTTGGCATTGGGGTCCTCTGAACCCCTGATCTAATTGTGAGGCTTAGTCTAGTCAGATTGTATGTTTTTAGTATGTCTTTTCCTGCAGTTGCTCTATGGGGGCAAGTTCTGTAGGATTCAGAAGTGTAGGAAATGCTTGCAGCCTTTCAGAACTTTTTTCTTTTTCTCACATAAATATTTTTTTACCCCAAGCCAGTCTGGCTACTGTGCGGCAGCTGGCCTACCAATTGAAATGACCAATGCAACCCCAAAAACAAAAGTGTGTGACTTTGGTTGACTGGGGAGTCTCAACTAGTGGGTGGTTTGTGGCACTTTGCACAGGCAGGGCTAGGGATGAAGTGGTTCAAACTCCCGGGTTGAAAGAAAAAGTTTGGAAATGCTGCATTCCAGTAGCCAAGGCCCTTTGGTCAGTGACTCAGTAGCTGAGTGGCTGACCAAGTGCGATTGGCTTTAGGCAGTAACATTATTTTCAGTCTTGCAGGTGGCAGGCCAGCAGGCTGAATATCTGTGAGACTAACCTTAAGTGAGGAGTCTAATAGATTTTGCGCTTGATCGAGAATCCAGCATGTCAACCATTTTGTTTGGAAAAGCGGAGCGTGACACCTTTTCCGAGAACGGCTGTAGTACGCAGATGCTGCTACAGCGTACTGTACGCTGTAGCAGCATTTTGCTTGTGCAACTTTTGGGTTTTGTGCTGTGCTTGGTAAAGTTGTGTGCCAGTTTCTGACAAATCTCACTACACAAGCACACTATGGAAGTCATAAATAAGGATCGCTGTGCCTGAGCTTTGCGTAATTACAGGCTTTAACGTGTCACCAGTTTCATGACCATGTCGAGTCCGAGACCACCGATATCTATCAGCAATATTCACTTTGTTGACTAGAAGTTGGATTCAAACAAGGAACCGTTGTCATTCCAAGCCCAAGTTTCCATCTTGCTTTTGTGTCTGTAGGACAAAGGACTTTCGTGGTTGAGTCACAGGATAATTACTTCTCCTACTAAATCAAACATGGGTGTCTGCAACTTCAACAGCGTGTTTGGATTATTTTCCGAGTACCCACTCACGCGTACCTTCAAGGACCCCCGCATTCCCATGACTGGTAAGATTTGCTCACCTCCGGATGTCAAGATATTTGATTCAGTGACTCACCTCATTCCTTGATGCACAGTTACCATTCTTTCAGTACGTCATACTTAAACATGTACCTTGGTTTGATGCCACCAATGAACTAAAGCTTTCTAATGGTTGGAACAGGTGCTGGTGCTGATGGGTTTGATAACTTTTAACGTGCTCACTCAGTAAGTCTTCAACTCGTCGTTATTTATATTTATTACCGGCTGTTTGTGAGTTAACCGCGGCACTTAACACAAGGAACAACTTGTCATTTACACAGAGGTTCAGTCTCCGAGACCGAGTATTAATCCAGTTTTTCTATTATAATCATTCCAATTGAGGACCAGCACTCGATAAAATCTCACCGATCGAATTTTATGAAATTTGCTGGGACTAGATATGTAAGTGAGGATGACTGATTCACTTATTGAATAATTGGTAGATCCATCTTGCGAGGGCATTGGTACATCAAAAACAGCACATTATCCTGCCAGCCGGCCACGATGGTAATGGGTAACTCGTACTTTACCAACGCGCAACCTAATCATCCAGAAGCTGGAGAACAGAGGGGATCATTTTCTTGGTCACTTCAGAGTGTGGTGCGAGGGCGTGAAGGCCGAGATACCGGGGAAACTGGATTTTATTACCAAGAAAGTCCACTAAGATGCAACGTAAGGCTGCTGTTTTGTTGTGACCGTAATATTCAGACTTTGAGCCTGGAGCCGGCTGCCCAGTAAATTGATCCAAATGCTTTCGGTCTGTCATCATATAGATTACTGGCATCTCTCTGACCTATGACTTCCAGATACAAAGCTTCTCCTATTCGTAAGTTTCAGTAAGATCTCAGTTGAACTCAACAGTCATGGGAAGATAAGAGATAAAAATTTGCAGGGTCAGTATACATTAAATAAATTTGCAACAACTTGGATTGCTTGCAGGATGCGGGCGATGTGTGTAACTCCAAGCGTCGAGAAAAATACACCGGATAACTATGTCAGTCTCGAAACAAGATTTTCTATTTTGGATAAAGCGTATGTGATTTCGAATCATCGATATGTACAGAACCTGGCCAAGTTTCGACTGGCTGGCTGCACGAGCTGACCTTCTCTTTTTGTGTTCTCAGAGTTCCGAGATTCACTGAAGAAGTACAAAACACCTTGCAAGCACAGATATTGTAAGCCCCTGTAACGTTCTTGCTAGCAACATAACACACTCCGTCACTGATTCCCGAATTTGCTCAGCGGAATCTCAAAGTATTATCCCGAACTCAACTTCAGCGTGAATGCATTGCCGAGTACTGCTTTTCCACCTTACACCAACCCCAACAATGGTCTAGCCCAGCAAGAGATAGGAAACCGTGACATCCTGCAATGGTCGGTCTGGTTGGATGGCTTTAACTATACTCTCCCGGAAAACTATCAAGATTTCAATCACTCGCATCTCTATATGCAACCAGAACCGCAAGGAAAGCTTTACATTTCTGGCGTAGAGGTAAACCCGAGGATCTTCGAGCAGGGTACCCTTGACCTACTCAATGCAGGTAAATCGGGTCTCCAGATTGCTGCTGTTGGGATTGGAGGAATCCGCCCGATTCCACCCAACGCAACGTTGACCGAAGTCCAGCTATTACCCGCCCCGATGCCGCTCTATCTCAATCTAACTGAATCTATCCTTGCAATCATGATGGATATGGCGGGCAAAGATCTGGATAAGCGTGTCTTGGGTGCTGGATATCTGTGCACAATCACGAGGACTCCTTGGAAAAAGGCAATACCCATGTTAGCAATGATCGTTGGAAGTTGCTCGGGGATGTTCGGAGCTGCTTTGACAATAATTCTATTTGTATGTTTTCAGATTCTAATTCTACTTCCTTTTTCGTCCAAAGGGATTAAAATCGGACATTTGACGTGTTATCTTTTCCTCTGCCTTACTTTATTTTTCTCTTCGACTTGTTATTGAAAAAGGTTGCGCGCAGATATGATAGTCACTTGATTTCGAAGCAAGAAAAGAGAGAAACATTCGACTCAGCCGTATCGGATAATCCCTTGACTGAATCTGAGCGTGATGAACTGATGTTGGAAAGCCAGACAGACGCCATGAAGAAGAAACAGGATCAGATATTGTGGTAGCTCTTATGAAGTTCAGGCGACAAAGGCGCAGTGCCAGTACATACCAAGAAAAAATTGCAAATACATTTAATTGTGATCTTTCTTGGTTTTCGGGTCAATTAGATTCTTGGGATTGGTAGAGACTTGAATATTAAATACTTATTGAATAGTAAAGAAGGAATTGATCATGAAGAAACAGATATACATGGTAAAGATTTGATATGCGCCTCTTTCCCCGTAAATGTTTTGAGATTTTTATCCAACCCATGAATTTTGCTTTCTTGAATCCGTAGTTGCACTAAGGAATTTGGAATCTGCAGTAAGGTATTTCAAACAATGAAGCTAAATGCAGAAGATGCCTACTAAGAAAAAGAACTGACCAGACAACCCCAAGAGCGAGAAGAAAATTCGTGAATCAGTAAGAAATAGTTATTTAGATTTGTGTTGATATTTCCCCCCGGTAGTGAAGGGACAGCCGGTACAGCCGGCAGTTAGTCTTCGTCGTGATAAGTCAAGGCGAAAGGCACTCGCATGGTCATGCTATGCACAACTCTGTAACCCTTCTGAACGGTCAGCCCAAAGATCAGTAGGACTCCCGACGGGAAACAGCAGAACGGTTGTTGAGAAGAAATCATGATTGGGGCCTGAGGCAAAGGAAAACATCGCTATTTATTTTTGCAGGCCGAAGGGCCTCGCGATGGCGGGAGTTCATGGTGAACCAAGCAAACCCTTTTTCATCCGGGACTTTGTGTCCTTTTTATTTATGTTATTTCAATCAAGCCAGAATCCCAGAAGAACCCCAAACATACCCATACCAATGACTGAAAATCGGGAAGGAAATGCAAAGCTATATAGACCCCAGACAAACATCGAATATCCAAATGAGAGCACGAAAATAAACAAGCCATATGACAGGTAGCGACAGTGAAACTGTTTCTATGTGCGCGGGGCTTTTGGAGGGGTTGTGTTAGTGCTGGTGTGAATACGCAAGGAAAGATGACTCGATGAGTGCTACATGATCATAAGCGGAACGACAAAATATCTAAGAGCTGGTAGTGAAATGATGTGATGCCCCCCAAATATACAAATACGAATACATATGGACAAAAGTCTCTATAATTTCAGTCGAGTAAGGCCGTTCTGGCTGCCTTGACCGTTTTGTCCCTTGGACCCATGGTGTCAAAGCTGATGGAAAGAAGAAAAATTAGTGACCCGAAATATGATGGGGCTAGTGACTTGTTGAGTACGAAACTTTGACTGGGCACTTACAAAAAGACGCCTGCCAAGCCCTTGGATTTGGCGTATATCACCTTAGACACGGTACTTTCGGTATCATCGTAACTGATCAGGGTGGAATTACTAGCAAGGAATGGCTAAGAGTGACAAGATGTGAATCGCGCATCATCAGAATGTATTTTGTGGGACAAGCTCAATGTATATAGAAAGTGATTTAAGAAAGACGGGATGACGAACCTCTCCGGAACACGCGTCGTAATATCTGGTGAAGCCTTTTCCTCCACTGGTTTCATCGTCGCTCAAGAACCCGGCATCTACCAATTCATTGACGAGCCATGAACCACCGTAGCCTGTTTTTTGACCACAAACGTCTAACCCAGGTTGATCATCGAATTTGCCTCCGGCCTACGGGACGAGTGGGAAAAGAGAGGGGAATTCGTTCAGATCATGAAGGCCCCGCGTAGCTCATTGTGGGTTAAAATTCTCACAGGAATACCGGTGTAGTTCTGGTAGTAGTAACTGGTGTAGTTGCCAACAATTCTCGGAGTGAGTTCGGGCTTAGTCAAGGTCCAGGATTTGGCGTAACCAGGAATTCCTAAGCTTAATTGTTCCGGTCTGAAACCCTGTTTGAGGTAAATTTCAATGGCGCTCTCGACAGATAGCTGATTTTCAGGATCGGCACATTGCGCTCTGATCGGGGCGTTTGGTCCGGTAGTCTTGGTGAAGCTGCCATGAACTGCGTACAATTTAAGGAAAAGAGTGCTCAGAATTTTTCATCGAGTGGGAGCAATGTATTATTTGGAAAGCTGGGAATTTACCATCATACGCCATAATCCTCCTGAAAGAATCAAATATTGTTGATGGGTCAAGGATGACACGAATTACAAACGTCAGGAATTGATATGCCATCGAAGAGATGATGAAATTTCTGCTGTTTTTTTTGGAAACAAAAGGACAAGTCGGCCAGCTTACACTTCATCGACAACTTGAGCCATGACAGTAACATCGGAGGCGGGTAATCTTTGGTAGTTGGGGTCCCTGATACCCGCAATGCTTTGTGTGGTAGATAGCTTTCCTTCGGGCCATTGGCTTTTAACTTCCTGTGAATCAAAGGCGCAAACCGGAATTGAAGTGGATTGTGAGCGTTCAGATCACACGATACTAGCTGCTGGTTTTGATGGTGTTTACCTTGAATAGCAGCTGTTGATTCTGGACGTCTTCGTCACTAACAATGTTACAACCGATTCCCTGACTGACGACGCGCAATGAGTGATATGCTTCAGTTTACCGTGCTTTGGTTGACATTTTTTTGTTGAAAAAAAAGAAAAGTATAAGGAGAACCTACATGCCGGCGTCTATTCATCAAGGATCAATAAATGAAAAAGCGTGTATTGAGTCATCTGCTACCCATTTGGGCATTCTGTGAATGAAGAGGGAGATGATCAACACTTACATTCCCAATCAAAATCAATTCCTTTGAAGCCGTATTTTTTAGCGAAGGTGATGGTCGAATTGGCGAACGCTGTCCGGTTCTCTGCAGTGGCCACTAGTGATGAAAAGTATCTGTATTCGTTAAAAGGTTAAAAGGTTTAAGGAAATGGTTAGTCCCGGCGCCGCGCACTTCACTTGAAAGAAGAAGGGATCGCTAACCTGGAGCCACCCCAGCCTCCAACAGTATACGAAGGAAAAACCGAGTCTATATACCATAATTGTAACGTGGTGTCGATGAGCAAGGCGCAATTTAGTACAAGGTGTTGCGAGGAACACAGAAACTATAAGCGCTTACGGTTATTGCAGCTATTGACAAAATCAAAGGCTAAGGTATCCCATTCATTTTGGGTCAAAGAATCGGTGCCAATTGTAAAATTGGCGTTAGTTGTAGCCGCGAAAAAAGATATCTCATCGTAAAGGTCTGTTCAAGTTATCAAGACGAATTGTAAGCAAAAGAACGCGTTTCTGAGAAATTCTTCAGCTGCCATCAACGATCTATGAGAGGTACTGACCATATCTGAGCTCAGAAAGTGGCTGCCCCTCAGCATTGTAAACGGGGTAATACCCGGCAAGCTTTCTCGCGCCCGTTTTTTTTGGAATTGCGGTAGCATTATGATTATTGCCACTATTCGTGTCTGAGGGCATAGTACTGTTGGTAGGAGGGTTGACAATGGGGTTGGGGTTGACACCAATCCCACCATTCCCACCATTCGCGTCCGGGATTAAAGTGCTGCCGCTGGGGAGGTCTGTCGTGTATTGCACATTGGTACTGGTAGTGTTATTGTGAGCTTCGGTGGAGGAGATAGAGGATGAGATAGACACGGATAGCCTATTGGGTTGTGCCTGTGCCTGGCTCCTAGCTAGAGCCGGTAGACTAATAATAAATAATTTTAAAAGCTGAGAAACCATTTCAAAGTATAAGTGAGTGTGGGATGATGATGATTGTTATCGTAAATTCTTGGGATTGGGGACAGGCTCGTGCGTTGGGATGCGTTCATCATGGCGGATGAACTCATCCATATTTATAGGCAAGTGGGCCATCAACGCTCGCCACCTAGTTCCCTTGCAAAGGGACATGAAACTAGATCACAAGTGGGAAGCTGGGAAGCGTCTTCAGATTTTGTGGAGACGTTCCAGCTCTTGTATATGAACCTAATCGATCAGACAGTTTTGCTTCACGAGGTCGGTGTGTCTCCATCAAGAAGGCCGTGATCCATCCAGAAGTTTAGAACCCGACATACAAACCGGTCTTCATCGACCCACCAAGACTGTCAGAAAAGCATCGCCACGAACTATGAGCCAAGAATTACAAGCCATATCAAGATACTACTACTAGCTAATCTGCGGTCAAGGTAATGCGCTCCTCGGATGCAACAGAGGCACCGGCCGGTGGCCAGCCAGTCATCTCAAGTGGCAAAGTTTCACCGCGATCACTGAAGATGCCACATTAAATTATCACCCCGCATGGCCATGCGTCCGTTCAACTTACAGCTTATGGCCGTGTCAGCTTTGCCGATGGCTCCTCTGCAGGTACATCTATGCCAAGAGTTTCTAGGAAAAACTCCCGGGCTCCAGAGCTGCTCAGAGACTTGAAGAGGCATACAACAATATACATAAATCACTCGTCGAAGCTGTCCTGACAAGACGTCAAGATACCCAACTCTTGAAACACGTCTCGCCATAGGATTTGACCAAAATAAACCTTAAAGAAATACCATAGGGTCCAGAACGAATTCGGACACTCCCGTATGTATGTTTGAGGGGAGAAAAGCAGTGCTCATCAGGCACTCATTTCATCGGGACAGCTAAGGGGGCTGGGCATCCGTGACTTTCATCGAGCATTGGTCCTAGGGCCGACTCTCATCACGCACATTTCCTGCGCGATCTCGCGCATGGGAAGTCGGACTTGCTTTCTCTCCCACCCCAATTTTTACTTTTACAGTCAATCAGGTGAAGGACATCTATCTGTTGTTGCAACTACTCAGTTAACTATTGAACACCCATAAAATAGACCATTGTCTGGATTTTTTCAACACCGTGTTTTCAATTTTGTTTTAGTATTGCCAAATCCTCATGAGGAATCGCGAAATTTTCCATCCTGTCAGCCACAGAGTACATGTCACAGTACCTTTCATGTACCAAGTAACTGCAACACCTGTACTTATGTACATAAGTACTTATCCATAATGTTGATTACCTTTACCTCTTGTTATCTTATTATTATCATTAACTTATCTTATCTTATTTATCTTACATTTATCTTATCTGTTAATTACTTATCTATTAAATACATACCTGTGTTCTACATAAGTAATTATCACTTACCTTTCACTCCTTTGTCCGTGAAATACCTGTACCACAAGTTATCCCTCTGCTACAGTATTTTCACGGTCAAATATTATTACAAATAAATATGTACATGTATTAAATAGTAAGTATTAAGTGTCAATAGAATTAATACATTCAATACATGCACTGATCACAATTATGACTACATTATTAGAGGATCTGTTAAGTACACATCAAGAGCAACTAGTACATTGATCAACTAGTACCCAATTATGATGTCACTTACTGATCATGACAAATAATGATCAGTCACTCAATTGAAGTGCTCATTCTCCTGGCCAAAGCTCCCTTGATTCTGAGCGCTCATTCTTTCCCCCTTCAGTATTCTGGAACTTATAATCCGTGCCACTTCCACTGATTAATCCCCAGAATATTCAGACACCAGTTAAACCAGTTAACATTTATATTGATACAGTACACGTAACCAACATAAATCTTGTCTACATTTATTGTTCTTAAGCTTCAGTACTCTTACTCAACTTATCCACAGTATTCATAGCCTTGCTGAATATTCCCATCAACAATACCTGTTAATCTTCAACTAATTTTGTTAAAGCTTAATAAGTATTGTTAGCCCATTCCCTTAGGGGAATAACCAAATCAATCCCAGGTGAGTCTTAGTACCCTGGATGCCTATTAATACCTTGTATTGATCCGGATGCGCTGTTGATAGCAAGCCTCTCAGTAAAGACCATACTGATAGAGTGAAACCTCCTCTTTACAGGACTGGTATTAATCACCCACTACCTAACACTCACCACGCTCAAAAACTTCAGTCAACTCATAGTAACAACCTTTTTACTATTAAATACTCAGGTTAGTTACCCAGAGGCTGACAATTGGGGGTCTGGCCTAATTGGAATTCCGTGACTAACATATCTCCGTGCTTCTTTTTACCTTTTGTCCCCAAAACATTTACTACTAACAATGGCCTTCTGAAGAACAAATGCCGGAAGTTTTGCCATTTATTAGACAAATAGATAGTACAATTGCAGAAGAAGCTAGTAGATATTACCACAACCACCCGGATAACATTACAGTTATTGAAAGAGTAGAAAAAGTGAAAGTAACAGAAGCAGAAGATAGATTCTGGAACTACATAGAAACTAAGCGCTACCATTGTACCCTTCATTCTACCTATTCCCCTGAATACATCCTCATAAATCTTGTAGAAGAAGACGAGTCTATCATAGAAAAAACAGTAGAAACAAACAGGAATAACTTCTTTACAGCGTTAGAAGAAACCCCTAAATATAGAACTCTTCCTACTAACATCTTGTCTAGAACTGTCCGCTACTACACTCTTCCACCTTTCACTGCTTGTTCTCCGCCTCAACCCAACTCTATAATCATAGATCTCACGGATTTAGAATAAATTAAGCTTGTTTTTATCTCATCTCATCTCATTTCCTTAGTATCAGAAATAAAAACACCAAAAAACACAAAAATAAAATTGTTGCGCTATCTGTTTCACTCATCTCGTGCCACAAAAAATCACAAAAATATTTCATTATATTTCCATTTGATTCATCCACACAGAAAAAATTGAAAACCCTTAAAAAATACGTCCGTGTCCCTTCAAAAAAGTCTTATTTTTTCAGTCTGAGTCACTTTACACTATCACGGAGAGAGAACCATAACAGATACAAACAATCTGAGTCGACCATTCGATCCGCCGTACCCTGTTTACACTACTAGGTTTTTTTCCTGAGCCTTGAAAGTCTACCATTCCTACGGCGTGAGCGGATCTAGTCTCATTTACCCATCATCTCGAGGGATTAGTACCTGGTCGAAGTCTAATACACCTGGTCGAAGTCTAAAAATAGAGTTATCTCACGTGTACATAAGGTTCTGCAGGCCGTATTACACAGTTACAACTCAATACACCCCGGATTTGCCAGGATCTGCAAGGATCTACATACATACAGATCTTCCGTACTACCACTCCCGCCTAGTACATCACCCCTCCTACTAAAATCGTCGAAAGTGATCTTTCCTGATCTTTGAGAGAGTGTAGCTCCTTCATTATTTGAGCTACATCGACAAACAAGATACAGAACTCATCGCCTTTATAAGACGTATCCAGCGCCGCCCTCCTTTCCATCCTCACTCAACTCCTTCACCCAGTTTCAGTAGCAAACACCGACCTCTCAAGTTTTCGACCAGAAGTACCTTGAAATATTTCATTCTGAAAAGTTGAGCGTGTTCCTTAGCTTCTGAACTTATCTCTTGAACAAAAAATTTCTGAAAAAGCTCAAAAATTGGTTGTGTAACAGTGTCCGCCGTCAACAGCACCCTTAGCGCTAACATCCAAAACTTGGAAGTACACGACAAAAACACTGCGCCAAGAGACAATAGAGCCCAATCTCCTCAAACAACTAATAGGGAAGCCTCAGTAGTTGCCTCAGATAAATCCTCAGGTAAATTTAACACCTCTACATATTTTTTATTATCAATTTTCACCGGGTTAAATTTTCCTACTAAGACCTGTTTTCTTTTACCATGTCTCCACCTTCTCTTAGACTTAGAGGTTATAATGGAAGGACCAGAGACGCTCCATCATCCCAGAGAGGATTTCCACCAGCGTCAGTCTTGCCAAAGAATAAAGATAAAATTATTTACGCATCAAAAAAGAAACTAACATCTCCTACTAACAGTTCCCAAGGAAGAGAAATTCGAGCGCTATTACTACAGGATGAAGACCAACAAGGAATGGCTGAAGGATGTGCGCAACCGCAGCAGTTACTCGGCCATCAGAGCTCATCTAAAGTATTGCCGGGAGGATTTCCAAGCGATGATAGACTTAGGAGGAACGACGACGACCCTCAAAAGAACCAAGGGTTGGAACCCATTAAACGTGTCGGCGGAGAGTCTCCTTCAACCACGAGAAGCGCCGGACCTTCAAGAAGGATCAATGAGACCCCTGAGTCGCAGAGGGAGGAATACCCATTCAAGACACCCAAGGAATACGGGGAGGAACACTCAATGGTGCAGCCAAATCTACGAAGAGATGGTACGCCTTGGGAGATCTCTTCAAGGGACTTATCAACACTTGGAGAAAGGCAAAATCAACCGCCAACACCGCTTCATGGAAGAGGAGCCTTAAATATTTCCCCTACACCTGCGTGTGAAAAAATTCCTGATAGTTCTGATAGTGATTCTACTAGTAGGAAATCAAAATTGTTGTCTAGTGATTACTCTACGCCTCAAGTTCCCCATGAACATATCCCAATAGAAATTTCTCTACGCAGAGCTGTTAATATGTTTACTGAGAACATGAATTTTTTAGTACAACATACCTTAAGAAATAACAGAAAAATTACTACTGATATGAAGAAATTGTGCCGTAAAATTGAGGGCAGCTGGGATAAAAGAGCTGATGAAGAAGATAATAATTTTACTTACATCAGAGATAAAGTTATGATCATGGAAACTGGTCTTGAATTATTACATAAAGAAATGCCAGAAATGCTTGAGAAATTAGGAGATCAAACCACTCGAGTAATAACCAGAGTAGAAGAAAAATGGGAAGATATACAGAATAATAACAAAGAAATGATCCATAAATTCAATACTATGGAACAATCTTTCCAGAAACTACAAAAAGACACGCTTGAAAAAATTAATTCACAATATAAAAGCTTTG